GGTACGACTTTTTCATGGCCTTAAAGTACTTTCCAGATGCTGAACTTATTTCTGCACCATCCCACTGTTACAAAGATGTGTGATTTTTCCAATATGCAGATGCAAATCTGAGGGGGTGATTGGAACACAAGTCTGAAATGCACAATGGAAAAAAGAGTGGCAGCAAACAGCCTAAAAATGTGCATCTTCAGCTGGCCCTTTTCTGAAGAAAAATGAGGCTTTGAGCAGTGCAAAAGAGACATTGTGCACAGTTTGTTGACTTCTGCAAAGAAAATAAATGGAAATGGGTCACATCCAACTACTCACTAGTCAATAGGAAAAAACTCTCTGCTGCTGTGTGTGCTCTAACCTGGGCTTCTTGTCTTATACCTTGCAGCCATTCTGCATTGTGTAGGGAAGAGATCAGGGCCCCAGAGCACTTGTTCAAATCAAACTTTCTGAGGGTGCTACTCGTTCATGTGTTTCCATATTTTGCAGATTACTGTGACACGTACAGGGCAATGGGTGTTTATTTTCAATCTGTAGATACATGCAGTTTGGTCAGCTAACACAGCAACTCGCAAATCTTGTTAGGTGAGCTCTGAATGATGTGATTTTGAACAGTTTTTGTTATGTATTTATATTTTTTCAAAAAGTGCAGCTTTTTATTTCATTCAAATGAAATTTCATTACACTAGTGCAATAGATTTCTGTTCCAGAGGCCATCCTGATACAGACAACGTTACTGTCACCTTATCAGAAAGCTTGGATTGTCCTTCCCTACATCTGTATTTGATAAATGTCTCCACTGATATTGATGAAAGTCTCAGGAGAAAAAAAAAAAAAAGCTGTATGCTGGATGCAAGCAGATTGAATTGCACCTCAAAGAGGAGAATGCTGCAGGAGGTGTGAGTACCAAGTGCCCTGTTATGAAAAGGCAGAGCTTTTCTGCAGCTGAGTGCGCCATCTGTATTATTCACCTGCTCTTACTGGAAATTGAACTCCTCTGTCTGACTGGATGTGCTTTAAATGGCAGTATTTTAATAGCTTCAGTATTATAAATATAGGATCGAGCTGTTGTGCTGCCAAGTGTGTGATAGCTTCTGTTCTGACAATTATACTAATTATGGACAGCAGTAGTCTGAAACTGGCTTCTCTCACACAAGACTCAGAACACCTCTTCTTCCCTCCCCCCTCCCCCCTTTTGCTTTCTGTTACTGCTAACCAGCAAAAGCTTTAATCATCCCTTCCTGTCCTTATCTGCCCTGCAAGAGAAGAGTTGTGAAGAAGGCTCTATTCTTCCAAACTGGTTTCTCATTCATAAGGCTGTAAAAGTGGACAGATGGCCAAATCTTGTAAGATAAAAAAAAAAGATGGGAAGGGAAAGGCTCCCTCTGCCAAATACCTCTGCAGCTCGTTTACTCCCATCTCTTAACTTGAAAGAATCTGCCAGATTTTCATTTTGTTTGGGTCACTTTCTCTGCCCAGTGCAAGATTTGGAGCATTATCTTCTTTATCTCTTTCATCTCTTGGATTGCTTAGCAAGGCATTTTGATGAAAACGGGCCCTAGGTGTTCTTGGAGTTCAGGCTACTGCCATACAAATGAAAAATGACATATGGGGCCATTTGAGTGAAATCCATCTGCTCTGACAAGATTCCTAACGGCAGTCTTTGCAGACTTGTTGGGAGCACTCAAGCAGTGCAGAATTTCAGAAGGTTTATACTGGCATTCTTTTCCTTTTAATTCATTTAAGATTTGTTACGATATATGAGCACTGATACCCTCAGCTGAAGTTCTTGCAGATCAGTGAAGAAGAGACAGCCCTGCAATTTTGTTACTTAAACTGCCCAGAAACATTTACTGAGATGACTTTTTTCCAGTTTTCCTGGGAAAGTATTTCAAAACAAACTGTACTAAAATGAAAACCAAAATGTTTCATTTATAGAAATTTAACAGACTGGAAGAAATTTTCTTTCATGAGTGACTGAGATTGATATGCATTTCAGTGTAGATGGGATTTTAGTAAAAGGATGAGAAAGTTTTTTTGTTTTTTTGTTTTTTCTGCTTTTTAATAGAAGTGAGGGATGGGGAAAAGGTACTTCTGTCAGAGTGGGTTTGGTTATGTGAGAATTGCCTATAGCTCCAAACAGGATAGAGATGAGGATAAACTACTCTTGTGTTGTAATGGGCTCCAGATGCCCAGCTGATGTATTTTACTCACTAGGAGTACAATGCTAACAATCTGAGGTCACAATGGAAATTGTTCAAAGTCTGGTTAGTACAGAATCTTGGGGATTTCTGCTCCTGCAGCATTTAAGTTCTAGGATTTGTTTGATGTTACCTAGCAAATTCTCCAGCACACAGCAGTGTGGTATGATGGTGATTTCAGAGCTGTTCTGCTTTCCTCGTGTGCTGTGTAGCTGCCATCAGGGGATGGAGGGTCTTTTGCTATCAAGGCTCCCAGCTGCTAGAGGCAGCTGGGCAGTATTTTCTGACTTGAGCAAAGAATGGGGATGTGGAGTTTGTGTTTCGGTTTTGTTTTTTTAACTTTGCAGCTTTATGTCAAAATGTACTGCTGAAATATAGCCTGACCTCTGGCAGTGAAGGTCTGGAGTTGATGGCTCTGGAGTCCGCTGGCTCCCTTCAGTGTTGTGATATGTCCTGTTCTTCAGCAGGGGCCTGAAACCAGCAATGAACTGGAATGTTAGCTCATGAAGAGACATCAGGGAATCAAAACTGCAAGGAACCTTTCTGTGCCCATAAGCATCTTTTCACAGTTAGGGGACATACTGGTATTGGCCAGCAATTTCATTCAGATTTTTCAGGGCACCAGATTTAGCACAGGTTTCCACATAGAACTCTTTGAGGCTGGCTGTTAAGGGGGTATTGGAAAAATAGCCATTAATGGCAGAACCTTTAGGAAGGAAGGCCTGTGTGGGCTTAACAGTGCCATGTAGATGCTGCTTTTTCTGTCTCCCATAACTGCTTTTATCTACGGAGCAGAGAGAAATCTTTGAAACTTGGTCATTTACATACTGATATATCACTTCTTATCTAGATTCAGGTGTCCCTGTCATTATTTTGATCCCAGATGGTTGATACCTACAAGCAGGACAGTTCATATCTCATGTAACAATGAGTGCAGTCATTGAGTCAGATGAACTCTCTTGTTTCATGGTGTTCCTAGTCTTTAATAGCTTATATCTCTGGATGAAGCTAGTGAAAATGAATGACTGGGCTGAGAACTGGTGAAAGATAATAGCAAGTCACTCTGGAAATGAAAATAATAATTTATCTGGGACTCATGCGTGGCCTGCATCATGAATCTACCTGCTTCTACATTACTGAAGGAGAACGATACAATTTTTATATAAGAAATGCTCCTCGAAGTATTTAGCAATGAAATTAACATAAAGTGAGTTGGCTAAAGAGGTATAATTTTGCCTGCAGTTACTCATTACTCTGTGGTAAATCTTCATTTGACACCATAAGAAGTATTTTTCATTTTAGTATATTCATTTAGGAAAATCAAAGAGTTACTTAATATGCAGTATTCATGTATTGAAATATTGTCTGCATTCCTCTTTGCTCCTCCAACACTTAGTGAAGTGTGTTTCAGCATAATCAGTCTCCCAGTGGATTCTAGTATGAAAACAAATCTCGCATTAATTTAAGAAACCTAAATTTACAAGGCAGTGGAAGGAAATTAAATTACCTGTCTGCATACACAGCCTCCTTTCTCAAGAAACTTTTTAAATATCACTTTCAATTTTCATGCAACTCTTTCCATTGTCAGTTTTTAACTGCTGTGGTTGAATCGGGAGCCCAGGCAGGTTAACTTTGACTTTGTCAGCAGTAGGACTTTCTACTTTGAGATCTTTAGCAAGTAGCATGCTTACAGCAGCTGCTCTACATTGCAGGCTTTAGGAAAGGTGATGATGTTGATCTGGAGCCTGGCCATCATAATGTACATCTACTTGAGTACAAGGGTTACAGTGAGGGAGTGATTGAGTTCAGTTATGTTTTGAGTTGTGGGCTGGAAAACCATGCTCTCCATGTATCTTCTTCACGTTACGATCATTCAATATATTTCTTTAATTTGAATATCCAGTATTTTGAATGTTTTGTTTTGCAGTCCTCAAACTCAGCACTCATCTGCATATGTGCTATGCCAGTGCCTGGAGTTTAGTAATTTATACCTTATAGCATCTTCCAGCTCCTATGAAAACACCTACAGGGGAAATACTTTTCTGTAGAGACAAATCATTCTTATTTTAGAAGGAAGCGCAGAAATTGTTGCATGAGAGTAAGTCATGATTCTTCAGCAAGACATGTCTTACCATAAACACTGATTTCTTGACTCTGAAAATTCACTGGTGTTCCAGTCTTGATGAGCCTTTTACCAAGAGTGTTTTCTCAGCTTTCTGAAAATGGTAATTTGAAAGAGAGAGATCTCCATCAAACCCATAGCCCAGAGCTTAATACATGAGACTCAAGATCGTATAAGGCTCATCTGAATTGTTCATATCCCAAGTGGTTATTCTGGAGCTGTATTCACACCAAAATTATCTTCCTGATGTCATCTGCTATTCTTGCCAACCATTTGTTTAAAAAAATATATATATAATCTCGCGATGCCTTAGTTTTATCACAGTATGAAATGGAAAACACTTCTACATGTTTTCTGAAGCCAGGCAACTATTTCTTTGCCTTCTTTATGTGGCTGTTATTTCACATGCCAATTCTGCATTGCCAGCTTTTTGTCCTCTAATGGCTGTGGAGGAGCACAAAGGCTTCTCTTTCCCTGGCCAGTTGGTTGAATTGTCCTTCTTGCACTGAAGGGAAGGGATTTGTCTATCTGACACTCCCATCTCTATGCAGGAAACAATAACATCAGGAGGCAAGCTAGTCTTCATGTTTGGCACGTAAGAAGCTCCTCAAACGTAAGGAAAGTAAATCTTTATTCCCTCCGATTAAGTGCTTGTCTGAACGACAGTTCCTTATGGATCTTTCGTTAGCATGACGTATGGCATCTGTTATTTTGAAGGACTGCTCTTAGATGCAGGTAATCCCAGAGCACTGTATGTTTGAGGCTTTGGTTTGTGTACATTAGGCATTTAGGTCACAGTAATATGAACACAAGAACATATTTGTGTGTACTGTAAAGGTGCCTGAGCAGTCAAAAGGACTGCCCTCAGCAAGAGGAAGTGTCATAGTTTATATTTTTCACAATGCCATTCACTGGAATAAAGCAGTAGGGATTTGATGGGTAGGTCTTTCATGACTGGTTAACTGGAGTTTTCATTAAATGTGTTCCTTGTACATGCAGCTATCTACAAGGACTGTCTCTGTGAGGAACTGAGGTGACTGTGGGAGTCAGGTATTTCATACTCTGTTGAATGAGCAGACAGCTGGCATTAAGCTAATTATAAAATTGTAACTGATCATGTTTTGAAATATCTCAGACTAATTCATGGAGTATATGTTAAAATTATTTATTGCTATAACATCTTTTGATTTTCCATCCTGAATCTTATGTTAAGGAGATAGAGATGATATATGTATGTAAATATTTGCATTCTTTCTTTTTGAATGAAAAAGGAAATTAAGAGGATGGTTACACAGAAGGTCTCAAGAGCTTGCTGAAATTCACTCTAGATGAGTGAATATGAAAATTTCTCTGTGTGTGTGTGTGTGTGTGTGTGTGTAGCCATGGCTAAGGCTGATGTCTGAGAGGCTCACTATGGAGCTAAGGACTCTGAGGCATAAATAAATCGTAAGTATTCATTCAAGGCAACTATATGTTTTTATTTTATTTACTGTTTGCCAAGTTGCAGGTGTGTATTGTGATCCACTGCAAGGTAGTAAAGAGAAGTTGTGAATGTACAGAATCTTACCTGCATTTGGAAACACATACTCATGCCTTTGTTTGGTATGCCCCTCTTTTCCCCATTAGAAAAGTTACTTCTGTACAATCCTTGTATCTTTTTTGGAATTTAGTAAGAGAAAGAAGAAGACAAAGTCTGTCAAAAAGGGCAACCAGTATGAAGGATTGCAAATGACACTTCTGTATCTGCCCTTGAAGCTAGTAGAGCTGCATCTGACAGGTTTATCTTATGTGGTTGGCAGACAGACACTTTACATGGCAAATAATCTACGCAGATAGTGATCGAGCAATTTCATCTGACTCAGACTCTTCTTCTTACAGGAAGAAGAAACAGATGTTTGCCCATAAGTCAATTAGTTCATATTAAAAACTTCAGATTATAACATTCAGAGATGAGTCTGTTCTACGCCCTTTGGCCAACACTGTTTAAACATGCATCCACTTTACTTAACTATAATTAATGTGTGTTGTACAGATCCTAAGTAAGCTTCAGTATTCTCTTTACTATCCCCAAACATTACTGTTTTGTCAATTCCATCAGGAACGTTTAGCAGAGATGGGAATTGTTCTGTGCTCTCTTTGTTCTTCAACTTGCAGAGTGCTAATTTTCAAACTTCTAGTGTAGAGCTAAATTTTAAAACTGTCAATATTTTGTATTACACTGTATATGTAATACTGAATATTTTTATCAATAAGCTCAAAAGGAGTGAAACTGTTTTATTAGTTTCAGTACAGGATGAATGCTGTGGCCATCTGTTCCTGAAGCAGAGTTGTCTCCTTTCTTAAAAAGGCACGCTGCATTTCCTCGTCAGGTCAACGTTTCATTCTATTTCAGCAGCGTTTTCTGAAGAAAGGCCTAGCTTTAGAGGCTGATGGAACCTAACACTGACATACCATTTTTCTTATCTCTTAACTTTGATTAAAAATTCCTTGCAAAGGCAAGTTGCTTCTTTCTTTTTCTGTCATTCACATATTTCAAAGATGTTATTACAATGAGCTTAACAGAGATAATTGTATTTGTATACTTGCGTGTTTTCTAATCATCGTATTAGATTTGAAAGCAAAAGCTCCTACCGTGAATATGTTTATGTGAGTGACGCCTTGTGCATGAAAATAAAGGATTCACTCCCAGCCAAAAATTGATTATACTTAAGGTTTCAGTATACTATGATTTCTAGAAACCTTTTCTTCTTTCCTTGGGAGAGTGTGGCTGGACTTCTGGAGCAAACTGGAGACTGTAATCATCTGTCTAGTTCCTGTGTTTCTATGCTGTCCAGGGGATGAAAGTAACACCATATTCAGTAGGAATTGGCCTGAGAAGCCTGAAGGCTAGTTTTTGTTTTTCTGCAGTATGAATGGGCAGGTTCTTCATTTACTGGTAAAGCAATGGTTGCAGAATCATCAGATGCTTTCTAGCGTTGTCTGTTACACATAGATAGTATGTATGCATGTGTAAATATATACATATATAACATATATATGAGGGATTTGGTTTCTGTCGTTTCCAACTCCATGTGCTTTTACACCATGTTAACTGTTGTTAATGTGTGACAGGTCTTTGTGCTATCATTTTTTGACATATTTTGTTTCTGGTCGCCACACATTATTAACATAAATGATACCATAACTTAAATCTTAGTAGCTTTGATCTCAATAGTACATAGCTCTACCTCTTTTCATGTTGACAACAATGACTTCAGTGGACAACTCTATTCTCTGCCATTTTTAATCTTACAAGTGTTTCTTGTTTTCCTCATTAATACATGAGTCTTATTGCAAGGGAATCAGTTTTTCCAGCTGCTTAGCATACTAAATTCAGTAAGAAAAAGACATACACATGCACAGTATAATTTCATAACACAGAATATTGAAGATTTTAGTAACCTGTTCGGCACTATGCTTCTAATTTTCAAAAACCCCATCTTTGCATGAATGTGCCACAGTGTGTGCACAGGCAGTGCTACGAGCTGGGGCTGTTGATGTTTGTAAATGCTGACTCTGTGGGCACGAGCATTAATAGAAACTTTGTACTGAGGAAACCTCTCCAACATCAGTCAGTTACAGCACATGTGAATCTGTGAGTGGAGTGCATTTCAGGAGATGGCTGTCTGTATCACACAGTGACAGGCTAAGGCCTCACAAATGCAAAGGCTGCTGGGGATACCAGCAGCACATCGGCGCTCCTCTCTACAGCCCTCTATCTGTTCCCCCGAGGCCCGCGGCCTCTGATTGGCTGAGCCGTACGGAACCTTCTGGAGCCGCGGCAGCGGTGCTGTCCTCTCCTCAGAGGGGCTGCAGCGCCCCCTGCTGGCGGCTACCACTTGCTCCCTATGCAGTTAGCTGTTGCGTGTAGAATACCGATAATTTTTAGAAAATAAATTTTCTGCTTCTTCAGGGATGCACCGGAAACTCCTGTTTGCAAAACAGAAGTCTGAATTGAGTGAGAGAAAGAGAGGCGAAGACACTTTGCAGAAGGAGCATTTCTGGTGAGCCGCTGCCTCATAGTGCCTGCGCTCTGCACCATCACAGGGTGCTGTGGGCGGGCAGCCCCAGCAGCGCCTGCTGCGTGTCCTCGGGAAGGAGCTTGCCACAATTCAGATTAGGAAGGAAATAATGTGACAGTGAGGGTTAATTTTAATTACTGTCTTAAGCAGTAAAGCACAGCTTTGGAATGCATTTCTTAGGGGCTGAAGGCGGATTCATGTGGGATCTTTGCTTTGGAAGTGGCGTTTCCAAGGTTTAGGCTCCAATCGCTTTCCATCCTAAATACTTACATTATAATGCTTAAATAGAAACCATCAGGATTTTCATATTACTTTGCAATTTGTGAAAATGTGGTTAGGGGCTTTGAGAGCACCTCGAGGTAATTAAAGATCTGTTTAAAAACAAACCCCTCAGCATTACCTCTTCCAGCTGCCATGGGCACCTGGCTGTGCCCTCTGCTGAGCCTGGCTGCACCTGGTTTTTTTTCTAGCAGATACGTTTTTTATTTGTTGCACAGATTTTACCTATTTGGAAACGCAGAAGGGGCTGAAGTCTGAAGCCACATAAGCAGCTGTCTCCTGTTTCAGATACAGGGTGGGTTTGCCAGTTGTTGTGCTGTTGTCAGGTTGATGTGAGGTAAATGCATTTGATTTGGTCTGTTGCACAGTGGTTCCTGCAGAGCTTAGAACTTCTCGTTCTGCAGATTTTGAGACTATAGCTGCACTGTTATCTGCCACAATTGGTTATGCTATAGCAAGGGGGTAGCTTAGAGACTTCTGCCTTTCACTTATAGTTACTGTGTTCCTACTGAGATGTAAGTGACCCCCTGAGCACTTGTGGTTTCATTGCTCAGTCACACTAGTGGGAAAGCTTTTCCTTTGCGCTGGAGTGGACTGGGGCTATTCACAATTGAAGTTACAGCTGGGGTCATTTCTTCCTGAAGGCCACAAGTTGTGCAATATAGCGTGAGAACTGCAATGTACTTTTAATTGTAATCGTATTTAGAAGCGTATTTATTCATTAAAGTGGGATCATATTGTTCACTTTGGTATTTGCTCTAAGAATGTCAGGGTGTTAGCTTAGTGCAAGCTTGATACAGTACGCTTAAATACCTGTGCTTGGAGAAATGTTTAGAAAATGACCAGCAAGGAAATTACGAGGGAAAGACCTTAAATATGATCTGGTCTGCCTTCATATGGTCACCAGTAGCAACTGCTGTTTCAGAAAAAAATTAACAGCAGAAGCCACATTAAAAGCATGATATTTGCTCCTAATTGTTGCCTATTCATTTTCTTTGGTGGATGTAGCCCTTAAGCATGCCTCAGCCTGCACTGCCTGAATGTGTGCCATCCCTTGTGGAGGAGCAAGCCCGTCTTGATATATTGTGACCATTATATAAAATTATGCTAAAACTGTCAGGAAAAGGAAATAAAGGAAAATATTGATCTAAAAGTAATAAAGATGAAGAGTATACGATGATCAATATCAGAACCAGAGCAGGATAAATAAAAATGAACACTGATATGTTCTTGAGAGAACGTTTGCTGCCTTTACCACTAAAATGTTTAACTGACAAAGGTTTAAAAGAAAGAAAAATAGTGAGGGATTGGGAGAGGGGAATCCTGAATATCTCACTGTGTGTTTAACTTGTCT